AGGGGAACACCAATCTCTGACACTCCAACAGGGGGCCCCTTAGATATCAGGAACAGGTAACCTCAGGCCCTGGGGTGTCAACTTAGCTCTGGCCACTCATCACCTCAACAGAGAGCCAGACCTCAGTGGGCTTGGGCTGAATAAAGGGACACCATTCTAGACGTTAAATGAACGCTTAACTCAATTGCTTGAGGTTTTCTGAGGCTATATAGTGGCCCCAGGCTCATTTTCACCCAGTCCTTGGGTGTCCTCAGCCCTGTGGAAAGGCAGGGATGTGATATTTAGTCATCAATGACGCTAGCAACAGGAGCTGGCAGGCAGTGCCACCATGCAATGACTGAGATCCTCGGTTACTTCCATGCAGTTTGCTACTAATTTGCTACAAGTACACAGACTATGAGAGCTGACCATGTGCCAGGCAAGGGCCATCTATACGGCTTAAAGTTGCAAAACCAAACTTACAGCACATTTCATAACCCTGAAGCAAGGCTGCCTGATGCTGGCATAACTTTTTACTACTGGCTTTAGTTCATCCATCTCCCTGAGGTATCCCTGGAAAATCCCTGAACTGCAGGCCCACAATGACACGGCAATGTCTAATGCTAACAATACAACTTCAAGTCTAGACTTCTGGAGCAGACTACTACTCCCCATCATTGTGGCACATTATTGTCAGCCTAGATTAAAAAGGAACTATGCTTTGCTCTCAATATTTAGGTTACTAGAAATCTACCTTTTCATTTTTAAGACCTCAGTCTTATAGAGTATTGCATATGAAATAAACAATTCTTTGGCATTTGTAGCTTACTCTGGATATGCTCATTCTTACATTTATTCTGCTTAGATACTTTAAATTTCCTATTCACAAGTGCTGAGGGGGCCACATATTCTAAGGGACCTATTATGCTCAAGAATAAGAGTGATAGCTGAATGCAGTGGCTCACACCTGTAATCCCAACCAATCCAGAGGCTGAGGCAGGAGGACCTCAAATTCAAAGTCAGCCTGGGCAATTCAGTGAGGCTCTCAGCAATTTAGTGAGATCCTGTCTCAAAATAAAAACAAAAAACGACTGGAGATGTAACTTGGTGGTAAACTGCCCCCCGAGTCAATCCTCAGGATACCCCTCAACAGCAAAAAAAAAAAAAAAAAGAAAGAAAAGAAATCAATTTGCACCATGGTTCAAGTTGGAAAAGCTCCCCTAATACCCCAGGTCTAATCTTCAAATCTCAACTCCCAGCCTATTAAAGCCCAGATAAACTTTTTTAACTCATGACATGCTATATTAGGTCAACTTTAACCTATCAACAAAGACAGTTAATTCTCATTATTCACTGTAATTATATTCCATAAAGTCACCATAAGCACTGAATTAGGTTCTTTTGAGTCTCTGCTCAGACTTTTTGTTGTACTGGGGATTGAACCCAGGGATACTCTACTACTGAACTACAGCCCCAGCCCTTTTCTATTTTGGGGCCCTGTGTAGGGCCTCAACAAACTGCCCAGGCTGGCCTCAAGCTTGTAATCCTCCTGTCTCAAGCCTCCTTGTAATCTCAAGGATTACAGTCTACACCACCATACCCAGTTTATCTCCTTTTTCTTTGTATTTCTGTTCAGAGATTCTTTACTAAATATCTATTGTTGATTCCATAATGCTAAACCCAGAGACAACAGCCTTGTAACTATCTAATGCTGAACCCCACAGGAATTTTCTGTCAAGAATATTGAACCCCTCTTGGCTCTAGACAGCACTTCAGCACCACATTTAAAGGCAATTTTTAACAAAATCCCAAGCATAAAGCATAAAAATGCCAAAAAATAAGGTGGTGCTAAAGAGTCCCCCAAAGCACACTTGTTTATATGTATGTAATTTGAGAGCTGAAGAAGGAGGCAAAATATTGCTTTTTTCCACCTCAGCTGGGAACACGTGCACTCAAATTTTTTCCTCACCATGTACTTGCTCCCCAATGTCTAACAAAGCACTGCAATTACTGCTTTCGGAGTTTCAAACACATTTTTGCAAGTAGGCAAATTCATAAATATGAATCAGCTGTATCTGATTATCAGGCCTGAGGCAGGAGACACAGAAAGTACATTCTATACTGTATCCCAGATACAATGATTTTTTTTTTTTTTCCTGGTTTCAACATCTCCTGTTCTCTTTCCTCTTCTACCTTGGCAGTTTGTACCATCAAGATTTGGCAACTTAGTTCCTAGATTTTTGTTTTGCAGTACTAGGGATCGAACCCAAATCCCTAGCTTCACAAATGCTAGGCAAAGACTGAATTACATTCCCATCCCTATTATATTTTGAGAGAGGGTCTTGGCTGAATGGCCCAGGCAGGCCTCAAATTTTTAACTCTCCTGCCTCAGCCTCCTGAATTGCTGGAATTTCAAGCATGCACCACTGTGCCCAACTGTTTTTTAATGTGAATGGGTCCTATTGGTAAGAGGCTGATTTAGCAATATTTGCTTTAATTTGCTTTACTCTTCTATTAAGCCCACACACCAAGACTTCATTAACTTTAGGATATATCTTAACAAATGTTCCACACACACAATTTCCTCCACCACCAGTTTCTCATACCTGCAACAGCTTTTCTCACTCAGACATTAAACAGACTGGATAATATACTTAGTCATAATTTACTAAGTTTTTTCTATGCTTCACTCAACTTGCAACTGTTCGTATTATACTGTCACATTCAAAGTTGCAAGATGATTTTTATTTATTATTGTTACTACTCTAAGTATTAAGTGAATTAAAAGTTGCATAGCAAGGCTATCCAGAAGAGACACACAGAAGAGACACAAAAGTAACATCTTCCTCTGGATCTGTCTAGCCATCACCAGAGGTAGGAGGTAACAACATATAACAATATGAACTCCAATAAGGAGTTAAAAGGAAGTTGACATTACAGAACATTTAAAAGTGAAGATTTTAGCTTCCTAATTACAGCTGCGCAGACTGTTAAAATCTTAAAGTCATAGCTCTACGTCAGTCAAGGGAAGTGGCAATAACTGTGTTTATGAAGTTCTTTCCAATCTTCAAAGGCTTTTATAAATAACCTAACACAAAATACTTTCAAAGCACATTATTCCTTGTAATTCCTGAAACTGTGTGATGTTCTGGAACAGACAGTATCACCCTCTTACAGAGGTAAACCAAATGCAAAGGTTAAGTATGAATAACTTTTTCTGGTCCAAAAATCTTCCTGACATAGCTAGGGGACTTGAACTCAAGTCTCTGGAGTAAGAAGCCAGAGCTGTTTTTACAACAACATTCACAGTTTTTGAATGCAGACCATGGTTATTTATAGCAGAATTGTCTTCTTAATTGTATTGTGTTTTGATCAACAACAACAACAAAAAAAAATCAGTTTGCAATCCCTTCCAAATGGAAAAGCAAAGGCAGGCTGCCCAGAAGTGTGAAAACACAGTGGCATGGCAGGGGAAATCGGCCTGGGATTAAAATTTTGCCAAAGTGAAACAACAAATTAAAGGGTTTACATCATTTCCATGGGGCGGGGGACTTTTCAGCCAGATGCAAGAGGAACTACACAAGACCAAAAGAAAAAAAAGAAAGAAAGACAAGACCTTAGAAAACTGTCTTGGGTATAAGAAACTTTTGAGGAAAGTATTTTTAAATAAATTCAGAACATGGAGATTTCGAGACAATAAGTAACTTCTCCCATGACCACTCCATGGGGGCTGGGGATGTGGCTCTGTGGTAGTGTTGCCTAGCATGCATGAAGCCTTGGGTTTGATCCCCAAGATCATTTAAAAAAAAAAGAAGAAAAAAAAAGAAATCACTCCATTGGGTTCCCACTTAACGCTGCCCCCCCCCAAAGAGATCTCTTTCAAACTTCCTACTCTACCCTTCTGGCAGTCATGCCAGACTCCTCCTTAGCTACAGTGGGAAACAATGAGCTTCAAGGCCATGGGCTTTAAAACACTAGGGCAAAGAATCAAAGTTTTGGTACGCAAAACTGACCTTCAAATCTTAACACGCAAACTGTCGTTTATCGTGTTTTGTCTTTGTTCCAAGTGAGTCTCCTTCTTAGTCAAGGTAGCCTTGGGTTTAGGAAAAAGATTCTAAAACCCTACAAAGTGGGTTAGTACCTTTTAAATAGAGGGGCAAGCAGCGCAGATAAAACTGCAAGAGCCGCCTCCACTTCCCCCCACACCCCCGCACCAGGCTGCTGGTTCCTATTAACCACAGAGAAGGAAATACAACTAGCAACATACAGCACCGATGATCAAAGTGAAACCGATTTTTTTAATCATCTAGCTTAAACAGATGACTACATGCCAGTAAAGCGCATAAAGACTAACTTAACAGCCCCAGCAAGTACTGTCATCCTAATCTGAAGCAAGTAAATGTCTCAGTGTGATTAATCAAAGGAGACTACCGAAAACAAAAAAAAGAAAAAGACCTTTGCTTTTCGGCGAGGCCTGCACACAGTGCAGGAACAGTGTGCAGTTTTGTTTGGGGCAAGAGGCGGGAAGTGTAGTAAGAGGAAAGAGCCTGGTCCCTGCTACCCATCTTCTGCCCCTTCCCTCAGTCCCGCGCCGCAGCCCTGGCTCGAGGCGGGCCGGGACCAAGCGGATGCAGAGTGCGGGGCCTCAACGTCGGCCCGGTGCCTAGGACTCCCTCCACGAGCTGAATCTCCCGCTCCCGAAGCACAGTCGCTTCCCTTCCCAACGTTAGCCTCGTATGCTGTCCTGTGAGGACAAGCCGCCTCCTCCCCTCAAGGAAGGCATCCCCGTCCCGCTTCAGGTCAACCCACTCCTAAGGTCCCCTGCAGGCCAGCCCTCACCCAGCTCGGGGCCCGCCCGGTTCTTGCTCACTCACCACCGGGCGGCTCCAGGCTCGCCCGCCTCGGGCCGGCCGGGCCCGCAGGGGGCGGCTAGGGACAGAGGCGGGGCCGCCAGGCGCGCGGGGAGCACTCCGGGGGCGCGCGGACGCACAGGCGCGCTCGCGCCCGCGCTCCCGCACCGGCTGTCGTTTAAGCACACGCAGACGCGGGCCGCGCGCGCCGGGCCGGCTCCGCGGCGGACCGGAGCGTGAGGAATCCCTGGAATGAGGCGCCGCCCGCCTTCTCCCGAGTTCCGCTGGGCCGCCCAGGCCACGCCCAGGCCACGCCTCCACCACGAGCAGGTGGGGGCCGAGCCCAGGTGAGCCCGTGGGGAGGCGGGGCCTGGGCCCGGAGCTGCCCGTGAAGCTCGTTCCCCTCCCCCGCACGCCGCGCGCGGAGCGCCAGCTCGCACCTACCCAGCTACTGCAGGCGCGCTCGGGTGGAGAATATTAGCTGGGCCCCTCCGAGTAGGCGCTTGCAAATAAGGGCACGTGGGCACAGCCCACGCAGTGTGCTCCCCGTGGGAACACACACCTTCAGTGCACAAACACAAACGAACATTTGGTGCTCGCCCAGGTTCCTGCTGCTCAGGGCCAGGCACGTTCGCACACGCTCCCCATAGGTTCCTGCACCCCGCGGACACAGCACCGCAGTCCTGTCGTACTCCGTGGCCTCTAGACTTGCTGCCCCTTACCCGCCACTCAGCCCGCCCAGTTGAGCGCAATTGAATCAAATCTGCGGCACCCACGCTGCCTTTCGCTCCGACCCGCTGTCGTTCCCAGCCTCACATTCTGCAACCCAAGGGCGTAGCAACCCTGCAGCGCCTGGATCGGCGTCCACACCCGAGCCACACCGGCGCGCACAGCTGCCTCCCGCCTCCCGAGCTCCACGCTCCTCGGGGCGCCACCCTGGGCTACTCTTGGCCTCTGCCCCTCGTTAGTCACCCACACCCAAGCCACACGGCCGGGACAGGCAGACGGCTCCACGTACCTGAAGGTACAGGTCGCACTTGCTTTGGAAGTCTGCGCTCAGGTGCCACCTGGAATCGGAAGAGCCACTGCAGTTCAGGGCGCTCGGACGCGGTGGGTTTCCTCCCATTACAGCATTTTACACTCCGCCACTCCACAGCGCGCACACACCCGGGCGCGCTCACACACACACAAACACAAACACACACACACACACACACACACACACACACACGCTCACTCACTCTCAACCCAGGCGCTCAGAGGCGTCTCTCGTCCCCCGCCCCCTCTCCTGGAGAAGGAAGTCCTAGTAAATCAAAACAGTGTGGAAGGGAGGGAGCCGAGTGGCGAAGGAGGGAGGTCAGAGTAGAAAGCGTCCCCTCCGCAGCTCGCACACCAGTGTTTGCTGTGTTTGGCAAACTCCTGGAGTCCACGACCCGGCCTGCTCTGAAATGGGCCCGGGGAGGGGCGGGGAGGAGGAGGTGAACGTTTCTAATTGGCGCAGGTTCTTATTACAGCGGCAGCGTCGACATGTGACCACGAAAAGAAAAGGCCTGTCTTTAATTTTTTCCTGTCATTCTCTGGAGATTTGCTGGGGACGGGGCGGGGAGGGGAGGCCTGACATTCCCCCATTCCAGGCCGCCCTTGCCCCCCATTGTTTTTCTCATACTGCCACAATTAAGAAAACATTTGCTTAACATATTCAGCCGCTAACTTCATAAAATAAATAGTGACTGGACTTCCTCTAATTTGCTTTACGTGGCTTCACGTTGCTAACCTCCCGGCCGTTCTCAAATCTCCGTGTTTAGGAGGAGCCCTTATCATAAGGGCTTTCTTTCCCAGGAGAGGGCTTTGGTGAGAGGGAATGAGAACAATTAAAACAAATACATTAGGGCTGGGAAGAAAAAAAAATGTTTTGCAGTTTTCAAACTGTTTTCCCATCTGCTACCTCATCTGATCGTGTCAACCCAGAGCACGTTACCTCATTGGATCCCAAAGCTGCTGTGTATGTAGGACAGGTACGAATAGCTCCGTACTCCAGTGAGAGGAGAGGGTTTAACTAAAACAGGTTGCCCTGATCTTGTGGCCCTGGTTAAAGGCATTTTCCTCCAATCCATCCACCTAGCTGATTTGAGCCCTGGAGATGTGACAGCCTAAGTGACATGCACAGCCACCCCTGGATTTCCTGGTTCCTCTCAAAATTCACAAATTGAAGGTGCCCTGGCCTCCCAATATTTTTGCTTAGACTTTCTTTAAGTTCATCAATAGTATCCTAATAGGAAAAGAAATTCTGAGAAAGATCACAAATCGGAGATGTTCATCCTGCCAGATTCAGACAGAGAATAAGGAAAGAATGAGGACTGCTGAGACAGATTCCAGACAGTGTGGCAAAACAGGGAAAGGGTTCCAGATTCAGACCTGGATTTGAATCCCAACCCACTTGTATTCATTAGGAAACTTTGGGCAAGTTATCAAGCCTCGGTTTTCTCATCTATTAAAACAGATGATAATTCTTCCTTTGAGGAGGTATTGGAGGGGCAAAGGACAAGGGAATAGTTACCTCTCCCCTTTTTTTCTCCTCCAGACTAGTCTTGCTGAGCAATTTATAGACACCCACTTATGCGGGAGGAATAGAGAAACAATCTGCCTAGATATTGCAAATGAATAATGATGACAAAATAATACAACTGCACATTTATAAAAATGGCCCAGGGTTCACAAAGTGTTCCCACATATCATTATCTCATTTGATCTTTATGACAACATTGCCATTTGCTTGCTACTAAATGATTTCCATTCAGGGTCAGTGCGGAGGTCCTAAAGCTGCCTTTGTAATTTCCATCACTGCTTAGAGTGAACCTTACTCTGAAAATAACTCATGGGGACAGAGGAACTTTTCTCATGGACATGACCAGTCTTCAGCCATTGCATGGATTCATCTCACTCCTTGCCTTACATCAGCAGGAGTGTGACTGAGCTCTGGCAGCATCCAAGCATGGTTGTTTTAGTCAAGTTGTTTTAGTTGTATAAAGTAGCAACATACACATTACCACCAAAAAAAAGTTAGCTATAAAGGTATAGGAGGGGTAGGCACAGTGGCCCAAACCTGCAATCCCACCAACTGAGGCAGGAGGATTGCAAGTTAGCAAGACCCTTCCTCAAAATAAGATTTAAAAATTTTTAAAGGACTAGGGATGTGGCTTGGGTATATATGTATAACAACTATATATAT